TTGATTGTTGGTGATCATTGCTTGGGGTAAGACTGAAGACCATAATACTGATCATATCAGCGGAATAATAGCACTCTGAAACTAAGAGAAAATATGAAAAGTGTTTTTATGTGCTTATGTTCTAGGCAAGAAGAAAAGTGTCATCCAGTCCACTTAGTTATATTTCCTGTGTTTGCATGATAAGAAAAAATATCTAATTCTACAGACAAGCATTTCGTAATAAAGGAGTCTTTTTGCGGGAGGAAATAATAATAATGTTTGCATTCTTTCAAAAATTAATCTCCAAATGAAATGTGTGTCATGCATAAGGCATAAGTTAAATAAAAATTTCCATTCAAGTAATTGGAATTCTTCTGAAGCTATGAGATGAACAATTTTCTACTGAGATGCAGTAAATTTCATGCGCTTGGTGTCACTTTCTTGTGAACTTCCCACAATTTACTTTGGTGTACTTCAAAAATGTTAGTGTCTCTTTTTACCTTCTTTGTTCTTACTTGCATTTTCTAATGCATTTATTGTTTCCTTTCAGTCAAGGAAGTGCACTTTTGGACATTACTGCTGGTGGAAACATGGCTGTAAGTAGATCTAGAATTAGGGACCGTAGATAGTCTGCTTTTAACTTATTATAAATTTGGCCAAAGATGCAGTATCACTTAATGGATCTTCAAAATTTCAGACTCATATGTGTTTGTCTTTCCTGCTTGTTGTATACTTCTTATTATTTTTTCTTTATGAATCTTCTTCCTCTTCATATTATTTGAACAATACCCTCATGACTTATTTATTGATGTTTATTCAATATTTTGAAAAGCTGAAATTGGTGGCATAATTAAATTTCTAATGCTGTTTCGTTCTCAGTATCATTATTTGATGGTATATGCTAAGCTACTATTGATTGGAATGCCAAGAACTACTAAAATGGAGAGAAAAGTTAACAGTCGTTTGAAATATTGTTGGCTTTTAAATTCTGTTGTGATTTTCATGATTCTCACTACTATATATATGTACATATATAGACGATAGCAGTCTGGTGAAGGCAGCAACTATATATATGTACATCAGATCGTGTGACCTAAAAAACTAATGTTATAATCAGCTTACAGTGATTCTCCATCTCGTCTTCTCATTTCTCTGTCCTCTCTTCTCTTCTGCTTCTCTGCCCCCTTAGTTTTCTAAAGACATGTTTTCAGGTTTTTTTTTATTTCTTTTAAATTTTTTATTAATGTACTAACAAGCATGGCATGAACAAAAAAAAAAATTGATTAGATAATAAGTTAGCTGTAGTATGTCGATTGATTGGCTGCAATATATCTATCTCAAAGGTTGTGATTTTTTTTTTTATTTGCAGGAATACTTTCAATCAACTTACAAATTTATGGACCTTTCACCTCATGTTATAATTCCTATGCATGGGAGAGTCAATCTTTGGCCAAAGCACATGCTTTGTAGCTATCTCGAGTATGAAAATAACATTCTTTTCATTCTCTGAGCACCATAATGGTTAGATTATCGTTGAAGATTCTTTCTAAAAACTCAACTATCACAAGTCCTAAATTATAACTGCATATGAATTTTTCAAAGATCTTTTTTCTCCCTTGGTAAGTTGGAATGTGGAATTGTGGCACTCTTCATGACCGTTGTTTTACCCTGGGTGACAGAACCGTGGCTGTTTCCGGCCTAGAATGTTTTAGCACAGGTCACAGCCAGTCACCGAACTTATGATCTCACAGCTTTTTGTTGTTGGCTAACAGTAGAAATGAACTTGTGATATGCCTACATTTAGAATATATCTATTTATGTATATATATGCGTCCAGGCTGGCTTGATCCCCTTCAATTATTGGAACAATAAAAAGTCTAACAACATACAATGAGCCAAATTCTGACATAGTTTTGTTTCTTGGTTTTAGGAATCGCAGGAATCGAGAATCATCCATCTTGAAGGCCATAGAAAGTGGAGCACAGACATTGTTTGACATAGTTTCCAGTGTATATTCTGAGGTTGACAGCAGTTTCTGGATTCTAGCTGCTTCAAATGTGAGGTTACATGTGGATCATCTAGCCCAGCAAGATAAGTTGCCTAAGGTAAATTTGCCTAATTTATGTTGGAATGTAATTCTGCTATTAACTTTTCTTCCCAAAAGAAAAAAAAAAAGAATGTAATTCTGCTATTAATGAATGATCAAGTACACCTAATGATGGTCGAGAGGGAAGTTTAAATATGGATTTTCTTCCTAAGGTCACTTATGTACATAGAATTGGTCAGAGGTAGTTAAACATGTTGTTAACTTATCTTTTGCTAAGAATTTGAGCAATCTTAGATTGCTTGCTTCATTTTTGATATAAAGACGAATTCCATAGTTAGACATGAAGATTATTGAATATATGAGTTTTTCAAGTTCATTGTTTTACAAATTCAGTTGAAGAATTCTATTTGTTGGATATTAGAACATTTGTATTGTGTTTATTTAATTGACTAAGGGATACAAGATAGAAATAGGGACATAAAAAACATAAGGTAAGAAATGAGATATTGACGTTAAAACTGCCTCATGAATGATTATGTATGTTCAGCAAAAGATACACATTAGTGACTTTTCTTTTTGGAAGCATTCCGATGTTCTCACTGATGTGCATTGCTTCTCTTTAGACCTTCTCAGTAAAAGTTTGGTTGCATTTACTGATGTGGTGGGCAAATCTAAGCCCAAGTGATGAAATCTGCTCCCCATGGCCCCCCAACCTACCATCTGTTTTGTTCTTCTGCGGTATCACTGTCCTTAATTATATTGCTACGATGCAATTCAAATAATAATTGAGTCTTTCGTACTAATTTAAGCTTTTAAGAAAATTGATTGCAACATATTACCTTTCAAAGTACCAAAGTTTGAGATCTCCTTTTTTACAAATATGTAAACTATTATAGTCTGATAAACATTCTGGTTATTTGTATGCACCATTCTGCTTGTATCTATCCAATTTGTGCACAATTCTACTTGTGCATGAGTGGAACTGTCAAGACACAGTATAAATAATAATTAAGTCATTATTACTAGTTTTGGTTATTGAAAAAAAACTGGTTACAGTTATTATTTCATAATTTTCCAGAAATTCCATACCTCCACGTGCATCTTCACTGAAGCATTGAATCAACTGCATCCCAGATGGCTTCATCACCTTATGGTTCTTTTCATTATTTGAAAACAGAAGCCTGCTTGCAATGTTACTTATTGAATTTAAGTTGGCTGATTACTTCTCTGCTCGTCATGTAGGAATTTCTGATTCACAAGTTCCAAACAACTTGCGAGGCGCGTTTCCTGGTCAGATGGTCATTGGCTTATGCTGGTAGCAGGTTCCAACTTCAGTACCACAAACTTGGTATGTCTAAATTCCTTGTTGCTGGAGCAGTTGCTGGTTTTTCAGTATACTTGGTTAAAAATAAGCTTATTCCCAAATAATAAAGGAGAGAATATGTTTCCCTTAAAAACAATTGCCTGCAAGATTGGTGCCGGGAGATTATATCAGATTTATTTATTCGATTAAAAGAACCTATTTTGATATAACAATCCGATTTTAGCCGGTATAGTTTATTTCTTTACCTTTCAGTAAAAAATTCGAGGAAGAATAGAGCAGATCACAGTCTATATTGTTGCGGTATTGATTAATTGTGATCTTGATGGAAAACTATTGTCAATTCGACAATGTTATTTCTAGAAATATAATTGGTTGTAGTTAATTATTTCTTGTGGTGTTTAGATTATAATCTAAATTCTATATGTATGATGTTTCATTTTCCATAAATTAGTAATTGCTGCTTCTCTTTTTTATTAATTAAAATTTAGCGTAGATATAACAGGGTATTAAGTCTTTGATTAACATCATAATAGAACGTTACTATATTAATATATATTATTTATAAAAAAATAATTTTTCTCAAAGTTTCCTTTATTTTTTTATTTTATTATATTATAATTTTAATAATTTTTATGTAAAATTATTTACTATACGAAATTTTATAAATAAAAATCACACATAGTCTTAAGTATATATATTCAGGAAGTGATTTAATTATTAATTTTATTGACACAACTAGGATAAGCATAAGCATAAGCATAAGCATTAAGCATTAAGCATTAAGCATTAAGCATAATGTCGGTCGTTAAACGAATTGTTGTTAGGAGTAGGCGACCAAAATTACAAGTTGATTTTGTACAAAATTGAGTTTACTTCAACTTTATTAATTGAAAATACAGTAATAATAATAATTACCAAACTATGTAAACGTAAGTATATTTATTAATTATGTAAACGTGGTAGAGTTAGTTACATTAATATTTATTAATGAGCTAATAATAACCCCATGCCAAACCATGCATGTTAGTCTAAAGTCTTGTGGTGTTTCTCTAACTCACGTGACATGTTATCGATATCTTGAGTAATAATTGAAGAATTGAATAAACTAGTTTATGATATGATTTATACATTAGAAAATAAATGTCAATTTGGTATAAATCTATAATGATTATTACAACTAAGAGAATTTTAAGTGTTAACAGATTATTACTTTCACTATAACTTTTTGGTACGAAACGTAAGTTGATCGTTGATTCTACTAATGTACTAAATCGATCAAGTTCTAAATTTTACATAATAAGATATTATGGATTGATTACTGTCAACTCATAATGCACGTAAACATGATAAATTTTATATCATAAATAATTTTTAAATTCGTGATATTTAATTAAATTAATTTAGTATTAAAATTATAAAAATCGAACATTATGAGTCAATTATTCACAAAAAATAATACAGTATAATAAATTAACTAAATGTTAAACTTAAAAATTTGAGCATTATAGACTGACTACTATCAATTTATAATGCACGTATAAAATAATGAATTCTATATTTTCAGTGATATTTAAACTCGTAAATATTTAGATAATTTAATAAATCATCAATTTAGAAAATAAAATATTATGAGTGAGTTATCGTGAACTCATAATAGAACTCTTTTATATATTTTGAATATGTATTAAAATTGTATAGTAAGTTAATTAGATTATTCCCCATCAAGTTTAACACTAAACTTTCGATGCTTAAAGCTTCATTAAATTTATCATTATCACCTCACTAATCACAAAGATTAAAACAATCCACCGTTGATTGCCGTCAATTCCCAAACAGACGGCCACGAAGGAGGATTAACTCCGAGATTCTAGGGACTAATAGCAGATTTACACGTGTTATAATCAGCTGTAAACGCGCTTGGGATTCTTATCACTCCCAGGTTTTGACAGAATCACTCCGCAAACCAAACACGGAGCTAGACTTTCCTCTTCTTAGCATGTCCTCCTACGGAGACTTTGACAAAATTTGACATTTCAAAATTTCATAATTCAATTAATTTTTGTTCTTCTTGTTTTCTTTTTAGATGAGCAACCCATGTGACAAAAACCAAACTGCCTAATTTGTTTTCCAATATATATATATATATATATATATATATTGCTATTTGCACTATTTTTTTATGGGTTTAAACAAATAGGGTTTTTTATCAAATAAAAAATTGACATTATTAACATTAAATAAATATATATATATAAGGTTTCTATTATGTAAAAAAAAAAAATAATGACGTCAATATTCTATTAACTTACAAATTTAAAGGTTTAATTTTAGATACTCAAAAGTACTTTTTGAAAGTTACAAAAACAAAAATACCATATAAAGTATAAAAATAAATTCAGCAAAACTAGCACCCAAAATGGCGTGATAAACAAATTATTAAACAGTGTTGTATAGTATATACACGCACATATATGTACACACATACGTATACACAAACAAACACACACACACGCACACACATATATATATATAAATATATATAAATAATTGGACAAGGAATGGTAGCTGGGTGATTCTTACAAAGCCATCACCAGTTTGCAGCCTCTAGACATTTAAGACTGCTTTGATCTTTTCAAAATCCTCTGTTCCTCTATCTCTGTTTATTCATTTTCTTTTTTCTCTTCTCCTCAGCCGACCTCTTTGAATTCATTTCACCATTAAATTACTTGCATGCTTTTGAAAATGGTTTCATTTCCATATTTTCATCGTATAGTTTCATCGTTTCTAAGAATCATTTCATCTGTTTCCTCATATCATTACACTTACCAATCATTAATTTAATCCTCTGTTCTTGAACTCTCTCTCTATATATATATATATGTATATAGTATAAACACATATAGGATTTAATAGTAAAATAAAACAAACCCAGAACCAGAAACCTCATCAACTCACCATCTCCTCCGTCTCTGTTTCTAATGAAGAATCAAAACCAGAACCCACTGGTCTCTGTTTCCAAGCTCTTAAATCCCCAATGGCACTTACTCAATCTTCTCTCTATCTTCTTCTTCTTCGGATGCGGTATGAGTCTCGGCATCTTAATCAGCTCTTACGTAAAAAATTTACCAGTCAATCTTCACATCACTCACCTCTCCGTTTCCACCACCACATCGCCATTATCACCGCCTCCCCCGGTGCCGGCGCCGGCGCCGGGAGAATCAAGCTCCTGTCGCACTGGGCTGAAAGAGTACTTGAAGCCGCCGAGGATCATGCACGACATGGAGGACGAAGAGCTTCTGTGGAGAGCTTCAATGGCTCCTGGAATCGGAAAATATCCATTTGATCGGAAACCGAAAGTGGCGTTCATGTTCTTGACAAAAGGCCCTGTTTTGCTGGCACCATTGTGGGAAAAATTCTTCAAGGGACATGAAGGTTTATACTCCATTTATGTGCATTCAAATCCTTCTTACAACGAATCAGAGCCTGAAAGTCCAGTTTTTCATGGAAGAAGAATTCCTAGTAAGGTCAGTTCTAAACTTTTTTGGAGCAAGATGGAAGTATTTTTTATTGTGATTTTAATAAATTATTGGTAATTTCAATTGGATCAAGAAAGATCATCAAAAATTCAATCCCCTGGAAGTAGCATTTAAAAGGGTAGATAATTTTAACGAAAGAGAGAAATAAGAACTATTCATAAGCAGGAGAAAAGAAAATTAGATATCGATATAAATTTTCATACCTTCAAATAGGTAAATTATACTAAAAACATAGACATAAATTCTTATTTATCGACATATAGGTACAATTCATGTATAAACTGCATTTACCTATACGTATATATATATATATCTTCCCATCACTTACCATATTTTGCTATATATATGTATATATTTATATATAAACTGCATATTAATATTTTTTTCTGCTGATCCAGGAGGTAGAATGGGGTAAAGTGAATATGATCGAAGCAGAAAGACGTCTCCTAGCCAATGCCTTACTAGACTTCACAAACCAACGTTTTGTTCTTCTCTCCGAATCATGCATTCCTCTTTTCAACTTCTCCACAGTCTATTCTTATCTAATCAACTCCACCCAGAATTTCGTAGAGTCCTACGATCTACCCGGCCCGGTGGGTCGCGGCCGCTACAACCACCAGATGAAGCCGCAGGTCAAGCTTAGTCAATGGCGTAAAGGCGCACAATGGTTCGAAATCGACCGGGCTCTCGCTTTACGAGTTGTTTCCGACACCACTTACTTTCCCGTTTTCCAACGACGTTGTTTCGGTTCGTGTTATGCTGACGAACATTACCTACCGACTTTTGTGACTGCGAAATTCGGCGAAACGAACTCGAATCGGACCCTGACGTGGGTGGATTGGTCTCGGGGCGGGCCGCACCCGGCCCGATTCACGAGAAATGAGGTAACCGTGGAGTTTTTGGAGAAATTGAGAGGTGGGGAAAGTTGTGAGTACAATGGGAAGAACACTAGCGTTTGTTTCTTGTTTGCAAGGAAGTTTTTGCCTAATGGTTTGGATAGGCTGTTGAGGTTTGCTACCAATGTGCTGCGTTTTGATTAATTATGTTTGGTTGGGTGGAAAATTTTATTCATTTTTGTTTACTTAAAATCAGATTATGTGGTACAAAAAGATATTGTATATGGGTTGATACCCCTTTTCCTACTTCTTGTATTAGTGACACACAATACATTTTTATATGGAGATATTGCATGACATGTATCTATCTATAATTTGAGAAGATTACAAAAAAAATTCCAACCCTCTAAAATTAACTTGAGAACTAACATGGGTTTGATCCAAAAATTGGAAAAGTAATTGATATTTAAAGAGTGATTAGTATGATTGTTGGTAATAATCATGCAAATCACCCTTTCAATTTTTTAAGCTAATTTTGGGTTCCCAATTTTTTATTCGAGCACATTGGATTAATTAAATATAAATTAATACGAGTTTCTGAATTAAATATAAATTAATGGCACATTTTCATTGATTAATCCACGATTAAGATTAACTTGGAAAAGGTAAATTAAAAAATAAACATAGAAAATCTCCCGCAAACTCACTGACTCGCTGCCCCGCACGTGTCCTCAGACAAGCAGGGTGAGTCGGAGACCGAGCCAAGAGCTTCGTGACACGGAGACACCTCGACCCCACGTATCTCCTCGATCATCTTCACCACGTGTCCGATCTTGGGCCGTTGATCGGGCGACAGCGCCGTGCAAGCCAAGGCAATCTGCAACAACCCCACCATCTCCTCCTCAATATCTTTGTACCTCATTAACTCCAGATCAAAAACCTCCGCCGTCCATTCCTCCCTCACCACGGACTGGACCCACCGCGGCAGATCAACCACCCCACCGTACCCGCAACCGGGCCCACCACTGTCCACGATCGAAGGACATTTTCCTGTTAGCAGCTCCAGCAGAAGAACTCCGAACGAGTAGACGTCGGATTTCTGTGTGGGTTTTCGACAGTCGGATGTCTCCGGCGCACGGTAGCCGTTGGATCGCGGGGCGTTGACGGTGGGCGAGGCCAACACGGAAAGACCGAAATCTGAGACGCGCGCGTTTCCGGACTTGTCGAGGAGGATGTTCGTGGATTTGATGTTACCGTGGGTGAGTTTAAGAGTCTTGCATGTGTTGTGAAGAAAAGCCAGCCCACGGCCCGCCCCAGCTGCTATCTTCAGTCTCGTGGTCCAATCCAGTGGGGTCCGACCCGGCCCACGATTACCTGTCATTTACGGAATACCTTAGTAAAATAAGGCTTAGGTGTCAAATAAAATTACGTCTTTGCCACTGCGTTTTTGCATCGACACAAAGTAACTAATTTTGTATAAATATTAATTTTTAAAATTTAAAATAAACTATTTTGCGATTTAATTATTTTCCCGGACAGAACATGGTCCAAACTCAGGATAGAAAAATAAAAAAATAAAATAAAAATCAATTTTTGGTCATATTCACCGGAAATGGGGCCCACACAAGTAAAAGAACAAAAAGAGAAAAAAAAAAAAAAAAAAGAAGAAGAAAAAGCTGATGCTTAGAATTGAAAAACAGAGATTAAAAAAGAAAAAGAAAACTGTAATCACGATTTCCTGAATCACAATTAGGCTGGATGTTTTTGTGGTGTAGTAAATCAAACTGTGTTGTACCATCCTGTCTCATACGCTAAACACAACAAGAACCCTAACTTTCACTCTCCTCAGGTGAGATAAACAAAACCAATCTTGGCATTTTCCTGGTGTCTTCTTCTGTGATTCAGACCTTTCGACGTGAAACCAGCTTAAAATTACAGACGCTGACATGGGTTTGGGTCGGCTCTATCGGGTTTAGTTCAGGATGCTCCGACATGCCCGGTAGGCGGCTAGAGGTGGACCCATGAAAAAGGGGACATGACTACTCTGTTTGGTTTCTAGGAAAATCTCAAAGAAAAAGGAGATTGGAAACAAATTCCATCCTTTCCCTGTCGTAATGAGAGCGAAAGCTAGCGTGAAAGAACTAATTTTCTCTTCTTAATGGGAGTTGGGTCACGTAAACTGCTTTAACTTCAAATCAATTCACTTCTCAATAAAGAAAACAGAGTAGGAAAAACAGAGCAGAAGAAACGTACCGTGAAGGAGCCAAAACAAGCTTCCATTAGGCATGTAATCATAGACCAGAAGCTTTTCCTCTCTCGCGAAATAATAAGCTTTTAAGCTCACTAAATTCGGGTGTCTCAGTCTTCCTAAAACCTCCATGTTCTGTTCAAACTCCCTCTTGCTTCCCACATTCGCATCCTTCAATCTCTTCACAGCGACTACATTGCCATCATCGAGCACTGCCTTGTACGCAGTCCCGAATCCTCCTTTTCCCAGCATCTCCGCCGAGGCTCGCAGGAGGTCCTCCAGCTCGAACCGCTTCACCCCTTCGAAGAACACCATTCGACCCCTCTCGAACCCGGGTTGTGTTGGGTACGGACTCGAGGAGTACACGATTTTTTCACCTTCGAGGATCTTCGAGCCCTTCCCATCTCGCATTTTCGCCGCGTAGTTTCTCCAGAAGTAGCAGTAGAGAAGAAGGGAGACTAGCGCGAGGACGATAACATCTCCGAGGATTATGGCGATTAGAGCTAATGGACTGATTTTTGCTGCGTTGTTGCGATGGGTGTTAGGTTTTTTGTTAGCATCTGAGTTCACGGGGAGTGAGCTTGGGGAAGATGATACTGTTCTCGGGTTGTTACCGGGTATCAATGGCGACGCTAATGCTCCATCGGATCCGGGTCTTGTCGGGTCAGTCACCGTGCCTTTACACGTCTGCATTGGGGATCCGCAAAGAGCTTCGTTCTGACCAAAAGCGGATTCGGGAAAACCCGACAACGATTTCGGTATTTCACCGGAGAAACGGTTACGCGAGACATTGAAGTCCTGAAGGTTCGGGAGGTTTAAACCCGAAATGGAACCCGAAAACCCGTTTTCTTCAAGCCGAAGGGTTAGCAGATGAGTCAAACGGTTGACTGTCGCGGGAATCTCGCCGGAGATGTTGTTAAAGGACAGATCCAACCGGTATAGTCTAGATAGCGACGTTGCGGATGTTGGAAAGTCGCCGGAAAACTCATTGTGCGATAAGAAGAGAAGCTTTAAGGCAGTGAAGTTGGAAAGATCGGGAATGGAACCGGAGAGTCGGTTTTTCTTCAGACTCAGTACTCTGAGCTGAGCCAGCGAAGTCAATGGTTGGAAAGAACCAGTAAGCTCCAAGTTCTCAAGGACGAGTCGTGAAACTCGGTTCTGTAGACAAGATACACCGGTCCACTCACAGAGGTCGGTACTCGAGTTCCACGAACCGAGCTTGTTGGCTTTATCCGCTGCGTACTTGAAGTCTAACAGAGGCTTCAAATCTGGATTCGAAGAAGAAGAAGAAGCACGAAGAAGAAACAAGCAAAAACAAACAAGAAAGAAACTAAAATGCTGGTTTGAAGAAGTGAGTTCCGCCATTTTGCGCTCTGCAATTTCGCAGGGAGGAGGAGTCGAGAGGGAGAGAAGTTAAGGTGGACTGACCAGTAGAGGGAGCGTTACTAGGAAGAAAACATAAAATGGGGGGACATTAATGTAATTATGACAAAGCATAGGGGTTTCATCGTAATTTAATGTACAACTGAAGTCTGAACTGAAAAGCATGTAATGCATACGCCACGTACTGCGAGGTAATTCTGATTGGAAAAAGACTACACCAGCCTTTATCTTTTGTCAGCTAACTATTCTGATACATCAAGACCGTCCGATCGTCCATCAGATAACATCAGACATCAAATATCGAATCAACGGTCATGAATGAATAATCAAAGGATACCTAGTGCCACTGTAGATTAGTTATAATAAATATCTAACCAGAGGATCTTCGGTTAGGGGGTGCTTGGACGGTTTAGTATTCCAATCGGACAGATGGTTTGCGTACTCACACGATCTTCTGACACGCGTGAATCATACCTCATATTTTTTACCGGAGCAGTCGTGGTCATATTTTAACTTTTCACTGTAACATTCTACTTTTTAGTTAAATTTTTTTAATGGTTAATAACGCCGTTTGATTTGACGACATTTACCCTTATTACACGGCAGTAAATGACTACCGTTTGAAGCAAGAGACGGAAACGGAGTAGGGACAAAATCGTAATTTCGTTAACAAAGAGTTGCCTGCGGCGAGAATAAAGTTATAATCTTGGTTTCTCGGAATTATCACATCACCCTTTTTTTTTTTCTTAATTCTTTCAATAAAGAATTAAAATTATTATTATTTTTTTCCTGTTTATTATACTTTGCTTCATACAAGAAGCTTCTTTAATCTCTATATGCAAATCATTAATTAAACAGAAATTAATTAATTAATTAATTAGACCTGTACTTAAAATTCTGTTTAAATCTTAATAGAATTTTAACGTACTTTAATTATTTTTTTTCTTATATTTTTATATAATATATTTAATTTTATTTTTATCATTATAAATTATTATTATTTTATTAAATATAAAAATTAAATTTAATTATATATAATAATTTTACATATTTTTTATATAATATTTATTATTATATATAATAAGTATAAATAAATTAATAATTTAATATATATTAATATATAATCATTCAAATATAAAAAATTTTTATCATTCATTAATTATTATTTTGTCGAACCTTAATTAATCACTAAAATTTATTTAAACAGTGAAATTTACAGAAACGTTTTCCAGAGAAAAAAACGTGGAGTCAAAGATTTGACTTTTTTTTTTTGTAGCGGAGCCTGTTAAACTTTAGGGTCCAAAATCAAGGGTGGCGCGGGACAGGACAAGACAAGACCACAGTGCGCCCACAAACAGCCATTAAAGCAAAAGAGCGTTTGTGGCATTTACTATCAGCTCCCACTTTCCCCGAATTCTGGTTTGCATGCTTAAGCAATTATATAATATATTTGTGCACAAGTCATAAAACCCACTTAATCGAATATCGTAAATTTATCGCTATCAATTCTTGACGGTCTCCATTTTTGGACTCTCAGCATTCTTGGAATCTCTGTGAAACCCTAAAACTGAATCCATATATGTATGTGTCTGTCTGTGTGTGTGTGTGTGTGTGTGTGTGTTCAGAAATTACATATGAACTAGATGATTGGGTTGGTGGGTTCGCTTTAAATTTTTCGTAGTTTTTGATATGTATGACCAATCTTGACATGCTTCTGGTATCAGACAAATCTCCCATAATTGCCAAGGCTCATTTTACATTATTATGGGAGTATCACATGTACAATATTTGTTGTAGCATCACGGTATATATTAAGATTCAAATAATTGCCTACCCTACAGAAATGGAGATTACAGAAAGATAAAACAAGAAGAAAAAAAAAAACATGAAAACCGAGGCAAAAAAGAATAAAGCAAACAAAAATACCGAGTTATGCCACTTTAACCCCGCTAGGGCGTTTCCCTTCCATGGCGTCCTTCTTGTTTCTGCATTCGGCACATAGGAACGGTCCTTGCCAGGGTTTCGAGCTGGTAGAGAAAATTGAACCAGCGTGAACAGAGATGCCCTCGCTCGGAGCAAGATCAACTTGACATACAGCGCACATGAAAAGACCGGATGTTGATTGGTTAGCAGAATCATCGTTTCCCAGTCTGCAAGGTATGTTGTTAGAAATTATGCGAGTGTTGATCATCATTTAAAAAAAAAAAGTGCAGCGGAAGAACTTTGTCTCTGAAAAATGGATTATGTTTTGTAATGCCGGGGAAAGAAATCATCAATGGAACTCCAAGTATAAAACTCCATATCACCAAGTTTAACTTCTTGATTCGTAATTACCCAAGATGAAAGTACATGTCCGTTCTACTTTCCAACTTTTTCTGAAATAGAAAAGACTAAATCGGACACTAACCCGTTATGGCGAATTCCCAACTGACGAAAAGTAGCTACCACAAAATATTTTTTTCACCAGAATTATAATAGCCCGATAGATGAAACTCAATTTAGTTACTTAAATCCCATCAACACACTAATGGTTGTTCTCTATAAATGATGTTGATTCCTCTTGTAAATTATGTAAATTCCTCAAGCAATGTAGTAAAACATAGAAAAGAAGACAAATTTCTGCATAGAAATTCCTTTATGCATACGATAAAGAAGCTGGAAATATGGAGAACTCGAAAAAAGAGGAATCAACATCGTTTGCAAGCTTTTCGACCATTACCAATAGATGAAAATTTACAGCTTCAAGCGAGGGAGTACTAACCTTTCAGCAAGCATTGCTGAACCTTCTTCAAATAATTCTTCCACAATTCCAATAGAGGAAAACTTCTTTGATAGTTTGTTAGCAGAATCATGGGACCCCCTCCGGAATAATAAAGCTCTCAATTTGTTCTGCTTTTTGGGAGGCGGTGACAACTCTCTGGAATTTTCTGGAGGGATTATGTCAACGACTAAGCACGTCGTATCATCCTTCAGTCCCCTTGTTCTCAAGGCTTCCTGTACAGTTACCCATCAACGAAGAAGCCGTTTCGAGCATTTATCATAATCAGAGATGATAAGAACCAAATTTATTACCTTCACCACTTGTCTAGCTGCAAGTTCAGCTGGCAATCCACGGCAAGATTTTGCAGCTGCTTCTGAGGATAGAGCATCCCAGATACCATCAGAAGCAATAATAAGCCTCCCACCTACATTTGATAGCTGTTATACCAATAAAGATTGTTAGAATGCACTGCCCAGCACAAGTTCATTGACTTTGAAACATTATTGCAATAAAACTAGCTCTGTAGATAACAGACCAAAACGTTTTTCCAAAAGCTTAGTGCTCGAAATTTTAACACTTTCTCGGAATATGCTTGATCCATGCTTGGCAGTTAGTTTGGTGGATTTGCGTGTAAAGAGAATATTGATGTATAAATAACAAATAGTCCCTCTACAGAAGATCAAACTTTTAGAAAAATCGGTTCAACTCTTTTATTTAAGAGATATAAGTTGAGTTAAAGACCCAATACCTTCACTTGTTTGACATATGGTATTGGTACAATGAACTCTCCGACATCCATGTCTCCAATTGACCTAGAAAGGCATAAACCTCCCGGCCAACACCTTAGAGGACCTATCTGCAGAGTTTAAAGAATAAATATTGTAAAAACCTTACATGATAAAGCAAGATAAAGGGCTAGACATGTTTATTATATGAAGTCATCGGGAGAATTTGCAACTGACCTCAGCACCACCGACAATGCTAAGCCTCCCTACTTCCCCTCCGCTTGCAGTAACACGTTCTCTCCTGCAATCACAACAGAGTAAACTAACGAATCATATGGAAATAGAAAAAGGGAATAAACAAAAAAGATTTCGAGAATTTAGATAGACACACACTCTTCCGCATTCTCTTCAAGCCTATGATCGACAGTTAGGGAGGAAATTCCGCCACCCTGAGTATCTAAAATGCAGCGTGAGTCTCCTACAGACGCCACAGTGACAGTCCAACCATCGACTATCACAAACGTGGCTGTGGTTCCAGATGTCTCTCCTGAAACAATATGAGCTGGGTTAGAGATCATTAACTTATCCAAAGGCACAAGAGAGATAGAGTTTGAAATTTTGTAGTCAGATTGCATGCCTCTGCTCTGGAACTCTTTGTCAGTCTTTACAAACCCAGCAACTAATGCCCGAGGTAAAGCTTGAAGCCACTCCTCACGGCCAAGTCCACGAGGAATTGCACCCAAAACATGACTTAACAAATTCTCCCTCGTAAAAATTGCCGCAGCATTTCCATTGTGCCCGTCAAAGATCTTAGAATAAAGAGAAAAATACATATATCATGCATAGTGATACATCAAGCTTAAGATTAACCCATTTAATTAGTTGCTTGCTTCACGTTCTGAGAAATAAAGTCCCAAACTACATGTACAAAATAGACAAGAAATCAGCAATTCAGATATTTCTGTCTTCCAAAAAGTGATACAGCCACCATAATCTCGAGATAAGGAAACTGCTAAGAGAATAATCCCAATCACGCACACAACCACACAAAGCAAAGAGTAAAAGAAAAAAAAAATTCAAGATTTTACGTGATACGGCAAATATATCTACGTCCATGGCCAAGACAGAAAACAAAAATTTTCACTATGGTGAAAGAAAAGAATACATCACCAATTAACTTGTAAACCCCAATACACCCGAAATATTATGATTTTTCCAAACTAAAGAAAACCGATTAACAAAACCAAACCAAACCGGTTTAATATGACCAAAACCAAGTCAAAACAGTCAAACCAAAATTCAAGGCACATAAACAAAAACTCAAATATCAAGGTCAGGAAAAATGATGAAGAAGCTTGTCAAGATTTAAAGGAAAATTTTGGCTCAGTCAATTTGAGTAAGATTTGACTTCTATCATCACACTCATTATCGTGACTCGGAGATTGGAATTATTAAAATACAAACTCCAACAAATTTCATATTCAAGATTTCAGTGAAGTGATAAAGTGAAAATCCAATTTGGAAAGGAGCAAAACATGCCTAAGCTAGGTGAAGAACTAAAATTTTGATGATATAAGACTATAATAAAGCATCCCTAGTTCTAGGGACAAGAAATTCATACAGCAAAGACAGAAAATGTTGATGAGGAGTTTCCAGGTATTCGCTGATAATCCGTCTTTATCAAGAAATAATCTTCCCCCTTTCTGGACTGAGCAGCATACCCATATCTCACAGCCGGTTTCTCCATCTTTTCGTTCCTCATTTCTTGGTTTATCAAAGCAGCAAGAGGCACAAGGTTGTGATGACGACGTCTTCCTTCTCGAGACGCCATAGCTAGAGCACTGCACTAACTCAGCCTTAGGCCTCGGACCTTGAAACTATCAGAGCCTTGGCCTCAAGATCATAGTACTGTTTCCTAATACCTCTGCAACTCACAATCATATGACATCCAACTCAATCACAAGCATCTTCCTCCACATCAACAATCTCTCAATGTGAAAAAAAAAAATATAAAAATAAAAACACACACCAACCGTATTCCTCTGTCCCAATAGACAAAGACTTTGAAGTCAACTGTTTATGAAATCAATCACGAAGTTTCCAACTTGATCTGCAGTCGTGATTGACAGCCAGATGTTAAACAACATGTCAGGTAAAAATTGATAACATATAATACAAACTAAAACTAGGTTATGCTAAATCAGAACAGCTTAACAAAGGAAAGAAGCAGACCATAAAGCAATAGCAAAATTATTCCGGAAAAGAAAATCCCAACCGAGATAAATGGGAAAAATAAGGAGACCAGAAATTCAAGTTTCTAAAATTTTCCTTGATGGGATCCTAAACCAAGACCAAGAGAAAAACATCATAAAACACAAGATTCAAAAACTTCTAGACTAAGAAAAGACTTGGTTGCTTACTTCAGACAACAAACTCAGCTACATAGCAAAACTCTACTGCATATTTCGCACTTTCCTCAAGTTTCTCGGCAAACAAACAGAGGTTAACACTCAAGAGTCAAGAAGACAAACGAGGAGAAGGAATCTGAATTACCAGCAAGAATGTTTGCCTTGCTTGCTCCAAACCCAAATGCAGATCTGGTTACAAGATGCAACACTAAGCAAATACCAACTTCAACAATAAACAAATGAAGAAAAAGATACGAAACTCAACACGGAAAAAAAAAAAAAACGCGTATAGTTGACAAGATATGAACTGTAGAATCCATTAATCTAAATCCGATTCAAAAAGAAAATCACCATTTCAATTAAAAAAATACCCAGGTCCCAGAGACACCACCGGATTAAAATAAACCCAAAAAAGAAAAATCAATTATTTTTTAAAGACAACCCACAGGTCAGCTTCACAACATTTGCCCTCAAAAATCAATTTTCCTGGGAAAAAAACAGAATTTCCCAGGAAAACTAATTGGGGTTGCTTAAAAAGATAGCCTTTTTAATATTTGGAAAGTGGGGTTGCTGACTATAACGCAAGCTGTACACAACCCACATTCTGTTTCTGTTAAAAGTCGGTTTCTTCGATCAATTTGCTTTCTTTCTACTAAATTTTCTAAGACAAAAACTTTTACAGTGTGAGCAAATGGAATCAGGAAGAAAAGCAATAAATTAAAAAAAAAAACAAATTTAAGTAGACTGTCCTTTTGTTTACCTAACAGATCGCGGAAATGGTTTATCTTTCAGAGAGAAAAAAAAAAAAAAAAAAAAAAAAAAAAAAAAAAAAAGATCCTCTTTTCATATATATTCTCTGCTGGCTGGAGGAATCTGAGATGAGAAGAGAAAGGTGGCGGTGATATATCAGCTTTAGCTGGGAGCTTGGGAGACGAGTACCAACCAAGACGGTGTAAAACACTCAGTGATTAGTGCATTACAGTGAGATAAACTTGCAGGCCCCATAAATTTTTCTTTTTTCTTCTTTTTCCCTCAGATTTCATCTAAAAATACAAATTTGTTCATAAAATATTGATACAAGTCAAATTTAGGTCACCGTTGTTTTATTACTTTTTTTATTATGTATATATATATATATATCGTTTAGGTCAAATTTAGTGATCATGTGAAAAATAAAAACTTTTGCACGCGTAAGAGAGTGTGTAAAAAGGTCGTGCGTGTGTTTCTGCGTAAATGCTTTATGTTTTTTATTTTGCAGTAGGGTTGTTGTGCAGACTGCAAACCGTTTGGAGAAGACGACGATGGTCCCGTTAGCTGAAGCCATGGGAGGACCACAACAAGCTCTGTGGTTAGATTACGTTAACATGTCAGGATCTCCTTAATTACACTACTGATTATAAATACTTTTTTTATTACGACATAAATTTAATATTTAATTTTCATTACTAATTACTTATTTTTAAAAAACCCAGTTTCACATTTGTTATAATTTAATTTATAATATTTTTTTTATTGTAATTCAGTGTATGATATTTTATATAATTTAGTATATTATATAAAAAAATAATATTATTATTATTTAAATAAAAATTCAATAGATTTATAATATATTTGTAACAATTGTTGTATATAATTTGCATGGAGCAGCCAAATGGCTAGTGGGTAGGTTTCACTTTTCTCATCGTTGTATGTGGTCTGTATGAAATTTGCATTACCTAAATACAGATACATACATTAAATAACAAAGACTTTATAATAACATTATTTATTAATCTATATAATATAATAATAACAACAAATATATGGTCATAATTATGAGAAGTGAAGTTTGATATTAAACAAAGACTTATATTATATTTATTGTAAGGACTAGAAAGTAGAAAGAAAAATAATAATAATAATAATAATAATAAAAACGACGTCGTTTTAGAGAGGGGAAAAATGACGTCGTTTTGAAAGAAAGAAAAACGACGTCGTTTTGGGATGTAGGAAAACGATGTCGTTTTGGGGTAGGC